TTTTTTTTTTTTTTTTTTTTTCTTTTCCCCCTTTATTACGAGAAAACTTTAACTTTCTTCCCTCTCTACTGCTTAATCCTATGATATGTTCGCATTCGTTATGTATATATATAAGATTATTATTACGTAAATTAACACGCATTAATTTCTCCTATCGATCATTCATTCACTAATCTCACTTTCGTTTCTTCACGTTTTCTCCATTTAGATCTCATTCGCGCGTCTCTTTTGCACAATTTTCGTTCATCGCTATACACATGCGCACACGCAGACACTCGTCTAGGATATTAGACTCTCTCTCTCCTTAACAAGATACATAATTAAATGTATATATATATATATATATACATGTACATATACATATATTTATATATATATATATGCTCGCCGTTTTGCGACGCGCCAATGATAAAACATAAATACACGCTTCTTAGGGCACCTTTGGTATTAAGCTTGATGTATTCGTCTTCGTCTCTTTTGTATCTCTATATTATGCAATTTCGTCTACGAGCCTCCGCGCTTGTCTTCGCATTTTTTTTTTCTTTTCTCTTCTTTTCCTTTTCTCTCATTCGAATCCACGTGGATCGAGAGAGGTGCACGCGAGTTTACGTGCCTTAGAGGCAACGCCTTCGTCGAATTGTCCCGGAATTAAATGGGCGCCAGTTCGAGTACATAATCGGTGATTACGAAATGTGAGAAATGACAAATACATCGTGACTGTTGTATTCATTAGTCATAGAGTCATTTTTTTTTTTCTTCTAGCGTTTCGTAGAGAGATCGTAGAGTAATTTTTCGATATTTTTAGGATCGATTTTAATCTGTTAACCGGGGAGGGCAGAGTTGGAATCATTGGGTTTCTAGAAATTTGTATAATTATGAAATATATAATTCGGTTTATACTTTCAAAGTGTTTATACTTTCAAATGCGAATCGGCTTACTTTTTCTTTTTTTCTTTTTTTTCTTTTTTTCATTTTTATTCTTCTCATATCACTTTGCTTCGACTCCATGCCTCACGATTATTATTATTATTATTATTATTATTATTATTTTTCTCTTCAACTATTTATTTATGCTTTATATCGACGTAATTACTTACACACCACTTATGCATTCGTCTCCTTCGCATTTTGGATGTTTCTTTTTTCTCTCTCTCTCTCTCTCTCTCTCTAGTTTCTCTTTCGCACGAATACGTAACGTGGTCCTCCAGTTTACAAATTGAAAACGAAATCTTATTTACCTCTATTTCGACACATTGTTTCTATTTCAATAGAATCAATAACATCTATCACAAGTATGGACGAATATCGTAAGTCAAAGAGTTAAAACAATATTTATTCGTTTCCCCTATACAATTAAACATTCATCATTCCTTCTATCTTAAGCTTAAGCCACTTTTCACTTTCACTATCCTCTTAAAAAACTAAAATATATATTCTTTCTCTATACTTTCCTTCGCTTCCTTATCACTTATCACCTCTCGTCCAAAACACCATAAAATAGAAATTCATCCGCTCAACCAGTTCGACGAGCTCGAAAAG